CTATGTGGTGAAGGCCCCCCACAAGTTGACTGGCTCGGAGGGGAGGGGCCAGCATACACTGCTTGCATCTCAATGACCAACAGCAAACTGGAAAGAGCAGAAATCCCTATCTAGCATGCTTTAGAAGAATCATAACCAACAAGAAAAGGGGGTGGGACCTCCACTATACAACTGTATAGAAGAAACCAAAACCACGATAAGAGAAAGAAATAAGAAAAATCTCCCAGCCCCCAACCCAGAAAATATTGATTCTGAAGAGGTAAATACAGAAGAGATTGAGGGCAGCAAACATGCAATATCAGACACGACATTAGCTGACATAAAGCGATATCTTCGTGACATCATAGACGAGCTCAAAACTGAAATATTAATTCAAGTAAAGCAAGATATAAGGTTTAATAAAAGAAATTCTAAGCTCCTCTCAAGAAGACACAGACAGAAGAATGGAGGAACACACGAAAAAAGGAAAGAAACATTCAGTGAAGAATATAAAGAAAACCTAGAATACATGAAACAGATTCAAAGAAATTACCAGGAAATTAAAAACTCCATTGAACGTTGGAAAAATTACCTGGTAGAAACCAGAGATAGATTAACAAACTTGAAGACAGACTTGCAATGTATGATTATGAAAGGAAAGCTCTCCTAAAAATAACAAGGAAACAGGCAGTAACAATACAAAGGCTAGATGACAACAAGAGGATCTATAACTTAAGAATAAAAAATGTGAGTGAAGAAGCAGGAGTAAACACAAAGGAAATACAAAGGCTAGTCACAGAAATAATTAAGGAAAACTTCCCAAGCATAGGAAAAGGAAATGATATTCAGATTATGAGGCATACAGAACTCCAGCCACCTACAACCAAAACAGAACTACACTCAGACATGTAATAATCTAGATCCCAGAAATTCATCACAAGAACAGAATATTAAAAGCTGTAAGAGAAAAGAAACAGGTCACCTACAAAGGAAAACCATCAAAATCACTACAGACTTCTCGACACAAACCATCAAATCATGAAGAGATTGGAGCAAAGTATTCCAAGCCCTGGAAAAAAATAAACTCCAACCCACATTGATGTGCCCTGAAAAACTGTCTCTCAAAATTAATGGAGAAACAAGATGCTTCCATGACAAAGAGGAACAGGGGGAATTTGTGACCACCAATCCAACCCTACAAAAAATACTGAAGGACATTCAAGAGAGAGAAGAAAAAAAAATACCAGGATTTCAGTAACAGTGGCAGAGAGGCCTCAATGAACAGGGCAGACAGTGGAATGAAGGAGAAAAGTAGACAACCAATGGCAGAAAAATAGCATAGCAGAAATGAGGTAGAGAAGTTTGGCTATAATCTCTAACATAGATGGCCTTGATACATTAACAAAAAGAAACACAGGCAGAGTAGATCTGGTAATAGGGTCCATTGAGATGCTCTGTATAGGAAATGAAATTAACCTGAGAGAGAGTTTATGGACTGAAAATCGACTATGAGAAAACCATGCTCTATGTGACAGGGAGCCAGAGAGAAATAGGGACAACTCATCCAGCACCTGCTGATAGGTTAGAAAGACATGACACTTTTGTGCAGTAGAGAACTATTCAGCTATAACGAAGGAAAATCTTGAGGCTTTTGTAGGTAAAGGAATACAACTTGAGATCAAACCCAGGAATGAGAAGGTTCAGAACCACTTAGGTAAATAACAGGCTGCCTCCCCCCATCTAAAAACTGAGGGAGCTGAGGAACCCAAAATGTGCAGTGTACCCTGTGGGAGTGAAAGGGGAGGAACTGTCTAAAAAAGGCAGAGGATATTGTCAATAGAGTATCAGGATTTAAAATTCACATTATTCTCACTGCTCTGTTTAGATGGATTATATTCTGTTTCAGTTTGTCTTCTTGTACTAGATTTGAGGGCACAGACAGCTATACCAAAAGTAGCAAGATATATTACAGCAATCGTCCTTAATTTCCAATTAATTTAATCTGAAGCCCTGTATAACTTACACTGTCTTATTATGACTTCTCTATTTGAATCTGGTTCGTTAGACTGCTGTTTTGTACTGACTGATTTTATTCAAGTCTGAGAGTATAGGCAACTACACTGAAGATGACAAGATTCACTAGGATACCTACTCTGGTTTGATTATTACCTGCTTTTGAAGTCTTATAATGTTTCCAATGCTTTTTTATTAATATTTTTATGTACTGCTATATTCAATTATACTACACCTGATGATATAGACAATTTTATTGAAGCCAACAAGAGACATAATAACCACTGTAGATCATCTTGTATTGTGGTTTTATATAAATTTTTCATTTCATGTTTTTACAGGAATTTGTTTTTTTGTCTTGTTTTGTTTTGTTTTTCCTTCTAATTCAGAAGATAGCTATACATGTAAAGACTCATGCATAATTAGAACTTATAAACAATTTATGAGAACTGATTATATAACACATGATGAAATGAACAGTTACTTTGAAGAAAAAGAGACCCTACAGTAGTAGCCAGTGCTGGTTCCATAGCATTACAATGTGAAATCCAGCAATACTATTCTTTGTTCAGAGTGATTTTACTCTGTTTTGTTTAATTTCAACATACGTGAAGGTGTGGACAGCTATTTTGAAGAGAATCAGAGACACTATGACAACCACTGTTGACTTCTTTATTGTCTGGTCTTGAAGACCTAAAATGCCTTCATCATCCTGTTTGGATCAGTTTTATACTATGTTATTTTGTATGAATTCACTGTAAGTGAAGATATGGACAACTATTTGGAAGAGAATAAGAGACAATATGATAGATAGTGAAGATCTCCTGTTATCTTGCTTTGAAATCTATGTCTCTTACATTGTTTTCTTATGTTCTGTTTGGTGTGTTTAATTTTACCCTCTTTAAAATACAATTTTAATTTTAAAAAGAAATATAAATTAAAACAATACTGAGGTTCCGTCTTACTCCAGAAAGAATGGCTAACATCAAGAAATCAACCAATAATAAATGTTGGGTGGGGGGGGTACTGTGGAGAAAAAGGAATATTTCTCTGTTGTTGGTGAGAGTGTATAACCATTGTGAAAATCAGTGTGGAGACTCCTCAAAAAACAAGAATTCTAGGTCCCATTTCACCCTGCTATTGCCTTTCTTGGTATTTACCCAGAAGAATTAAAAACATTATTCCACAATGATGTATGTGCACCAAGGATTATAACAGCACAATTTGCAATATATTTTGCAAACAACTCAAATGTCCATTGACTGAGAAATGGATAAAAAAGATTAGGCATTTTATACAATGGAATATTACTCAGCTATGGAGGATAAACTCAAAGCTTTTTTAGGTAAATGGATATAAATAGACACCATCCTCATAAGTGAAATAAATCAGACTTGCATGTGTAAACATTGCATTGTCTCCGTAGTATAAAAAACTGAAAAAGTATATAAGGTCCAAAAGGTACTATAGATCTTGTGAAAGAGAAAGAAACTGCTCAAAAGGGGCTGAACAACTGGGATGGAATGAAAGAGAAAAAAAGAAAAGGAAAAGGAAATATATTTTTTTTCTTTTCTTTTATCATAAACATATATATATATATATATATATATATATATATATATATGGTAGTTAAGACAATTGTACTAATTCTATTAGTTCAAGGAAATGAACAGTTAGTGCTCATATTGTTCAGTCAATTTTGCATGCCTATGTCTGGTAACCTGAGCAACTCTTTTTTTTTTTTTTTTTTTTTTTTTTTTTTTTTGTATTTTTACCGGTACCAGGGATCGAACTCATGACTGCCTGCTTGCAAGACAGGTGCTTATGCCACTGAGCTAAATCCCCAGCCCCCTGAGCAACTCTTTAGAAGAGAACAATATGCAATATAGCAACCATTGTTAAATTCTATCATCTTGTCTTGAAAACCTATATTGATGTTGCTTTGGGGTTTTGTTGTTGTGGTGGTGGTGGTGGTGGTGTTAGTTGTTGTGGGATTTTTTTCTCTATTAGTAAAAAAAGACATCAGCGCTGTGGCTGGGACCCTGTTAGACACCCCAGTTCACACCAGCCACTAGCTGATACACTGAAGGGATCTTATTGGTAGCACATAAAGCCAACACTTGCCCAGGTGACAGCTATTCCAATTTCTGATGCACAGCAGAGTAAGCTATAGTGAAACGGTGGCTGTTTTAGGATGGTAAGCCCTACAGAAGTTGAATACACACTCATATTTAATGGGAAGAGTTAATTTCATCTCTAAAATGGAGTTTAATTGAACTATTTAAATGCAGGCAGATTTCATGTAACAGCATGAATGTCCAGCTCCTCCTAAAGCACCACATTCTGGCAGGCTCATTCCCATAAGGAAGGAATTCAATGCAACTGAGTGGTGATGCTCCTGCCTCCAGCCTCAGTTGTCCTCGGTGAGTCAGTTTTATCTGGTTCCTTGTAGTCATTCATTTTACCTTCCTGGCCCTAAAATCATTTGCCTTAGGACAGAGTCTCACTTTTAAAGTGTAATGAACAAGCAAATTATTCATATAGTTCTAGCATCTAAATAGGTATCATGGGCTTAACTCAAAAGATAATTGTTATAGTTTATGTGTAGATGTCCCCACAAAGCCTCATGCAGTCATAAGTGGAGCTTTTTCAGAGGTGGGTGGACCTAGAGTGTGTGGTGCTGGGATTGATGCATGCTGCAATGCTAGGTTCAGGGCACTAAGACTGAGGACGTGAGTGCTATCCATCCTAAGCCTGGATAAAATAAAAGGGATAGAATGTTCTGTGGTCATCTCTTGTTGCTTTGCTGCCTTCTACCTGCCACAAACTTTTGGTCCTCCGAGATGTCCCACTGCCATGTACCACTCTGCCTTGGAGCCAGCTGATGGTAAACTGAAACCTCTACAAACTGTGAGCTAAATAAATCTTTCCCCCTTTAACTCTGAGTGTTGAGTATTTTATTTCAGTAATGTGAGAAAAGTAACTAAGACAACAATTAAGCACCATACCTGGATCGATGGCTTCTCCATCAAACACAGTCTCATACACAATGGTTTCCTTGGAAAAAGCACATATTCTTAGCAATCAAATCAGTCAGTTTGATAAAGTTACTTTTGACAAGTGTTTTGTATTTGAGCAGTTGACTTCTTTTAAGTTACTTCATCTCTCTCATCTATAGAGAGCCAACAGCCTTGGGACCAAAACTTCTTGCTATTCTTATCTCCTGCCAACCCCATCCCCCACATCAATTGGCTTCCAAGACCTCTGTGACCTCAGGACCTTATTTTGATGTGAATTCTCTTAGCCTATCTGAGAGATATTATACCAATGGTAGTGAATCTATTGTACACAGCATACTATTTGTTTTTAAGACAAAGGATATTAATGTATGAGTTCTTTTTGTTTTTTTCCTAAACAAAACCCTCCACATTCAGGTTTATTTGCCATGTTGGCTCTTTGTGATAAGTAAGTGAGTTTGGGGCTGGCCTTTGGGCATTCATCTCTAAAAGGTTCGCCATCTCTGGTAGACTGCTCTTCCCCTTAACTTCATGTGTTGAAGTTCTAATTGCCAGCACCTCAGAATGTCACTCCTTTGGAGACAGCGCCTCTAAAGAGGTCACGTAGGTGGGCATTAATTCCATGTGACCCGTGTTTTTCTAAGAGGAGGAAACTGAGGCACTGACAACACTAACCCTTCTCACAGACCACGTGAGGCCAGAGCAAGAAGGTGGCCATTCGCAGGTCAGGGAGAGAGGCCTCAGAACAGACCAAAATGCCAACACCTGGAACTTGAGCTGTAACCGTGAGGACTGTGCAAAATAAACTTCTGTTCCTCAAGCCACCTGGCCTGGAATCTTGCTATGGGAGCCCTAGCAAAGTACCACATGAGATGAGGTGACCTCTGTTCCCCGAGGCAGAGGCGGAGAAGAAGGCACTGAAAGAGCTGGCTCGTGACACCACGTGGTAAGTAAGGACTGGGGTGTTTGTGGTGGACGGGAAGCACGTGCAGAGAAAAACTGAGGGGTGAGCATGAAAACGCCTTTCCTGTTCTATGCTGCACTTACGTTTGCCTACCCCAGTCTCACCCTTGTCCACCTCTTCTGTCAAACTAGTTCCAATTTGAAGATAGTTTGCACACTCAAGGGTAAAAACCCTAAAGTTGAAGAACTTATTCAGTTCCATGACACACACAGTTTATTTTCAAATACAGTTTTTAGTTTTAAGGAATGATGAGAACGCTGAACTTCCACTTGTCTAGAGTTATTTTTTACTGCATGTATATACAATATTTGAGGTAAATTTTGACCTAACCAAATCCTAAGGTTGGATCTGAAATCCCAACTTTGTAATACATACAAATTCAACAGAACAGATAAGCAGAAATAATTCTATTTGCTATTTATGATGGTTAAGGATATTCACTATATGTTTATACAGAAGAAATTTCCATTGCTCTTAAATTACAGGAATAAATTACTATACAGGGACCACAAAATGTACTTACTGTTAAAATTTCTAATTCTTTACTTCTGCTTGCTGTGACAGCTTTTTCCTTTTGATCTCTATCTCCTATTTAAAAAAAAAAAAAAGTAAAAGCCAAGTATCTGTTGAGTAGCATTTCTTTAAAAACCACATAATTCAAGCATAATTATGTTGTAATTAGTAATCTGTATCTTACCTGCAATATATTTCATTTCCCTATATAAAAAGAAAATTTGACAAGATATCAGCTTCATTATACTAAATCTTGTTTCAAAAATAAGTTCATTCCATACTCAGCATGTGACTATTGTAACATTTTTCTTAGTCCAGGATAAAAGAAATGCTATAAATTCAGGGAAATAATAAAATTCATTAACCATCACCACCCACTTTTTTGGACCACAGATAAATTCTGCCTAATGAATAAAAATTCATTTCAAGGCTTTTTTTGAAATCCTGATACTCTGTGCCCTAGAAAGCTATTCTTGGGTAGAATATCTTGTGAGCAGCTGAATATCGAGTTCATTCCGTTGGTCTCTCTTCCCCACTGCAGACACTGCTAGTGCCTAGATGACTTCCCACTCGTTGTCAAACCTGTCCATGAAAAGTTTTGCATCAAAATAATGTGAGGAATTGGTTGCTTGTTTACTCACAAATTTGCTTCTTTGATAAGGAGATAGGTCCTTTGCAAAAGAGGAAGGGCCAGAGAGACAGACAAAGGAAGAGGGTAAAGAGAGAATTAATATGTGTTGTGTACACACACAGACTTCCCACAAGGAGTGCAGTCACTATGTACTGTAAACATGTACTAATTTTCAACTTTTTTAAAGTTTAAAACCTCTTCTTGTAGTAAGTCTGTCACAAGTGTTTTACAGTGTAATTCAACATAAACTGTTACCTTTGTTTGTAAAGAAAGCTCCCCAAATGTTTTTGGCATAGAGTAGGTTTCAGATCACCAGTGAAAGACACTACTATATTCTGTATTCTTGATAGCAAGCCTAGAAACGCACAGAGTTGAAGTCCCAAACTGTTACAGGCAGCTGAGCTAGTTAGAAATACTATACGCAGTCAGACGGGGCTAGGCCCTTGACGAAGCCAGCACAGAGGACCAGAGGTCTGATGAGTTTGGAGGGGACACATCTCTTGTTGTGGGCCAAAAAATGGGGACAGAAGGCAAAACAAATGCAGCCACACCCTTAAGAATAATCCTTAGGGATTAAATCTGGATCACCTTGAGAAGCCAAAAGTCACCATCACAGGTCGGGGATTTAGTTCAGTACCTAAGTGCCTACCTAGCAAGAACGAGGTTGTGAGTTTGATCCCCGGTACCAAAAAAGAAAAAAAAAGTCACCATCCCAACCCCCTATAGGAAGAGTCATTGACATGACTCAGTTTCCCATTTGTCCCTGATTTGGTCAATTTTACCTAAACAATTGAACTTATTGGTTGACCATAGTTCTGTCTGAAAGGTTCTTGCTTTAGTAGAAATTATGGCCGTGGTCTAACGTGGCAGAAGGCCAAAGCAGGACCACCTACCACTTTCTGCTTCTTCCTCAGTCTTAATTGCAACACTCCTTCCCTGGGAAGAAATTCCAATCTGCTCCTCGCACCTCATCAATGCCTGCCCTGGTCAGAGGTTATATATAGATCCCATACCCCCACTTCCCAGCAGAGAAAGCCAGGCTGCTGGCGGCCCTGGAGTTCTCTCCACATCCTTGGGGTAAAGGCTATTTTTACTTTATATTCTATTTTATCACGCCGAAAACTCTTTCACTATCCCACCTCATGCCCATCTGCCTTGCGAGTTCCCAGTTTTCTCCAACTTTAAACCAGCCTCACCTCATGATTTTACTCTATAGAATCCCAAGAAAACACAGAATCTTTGGCGACCCACTCAGGACCCCTTCTGTGTCTCTCTCCGACAGAGGCTTTCTTTCTCTCAATAAATATATTCTGCTCTTAACCTCCATTGTTCCTCAATTTTAGACCACACAAACTCATCCTGGACATACAGTAGGTCAGGAGTTTCATTCCCCTATATCAAAACCTCTAGAGATTTTAATTCTACAACAAAAGCTTGGAAAGAAAATCACATACCTGTGTTTAGGCTTAGAGATTTTCTTGGCCACTGTGTGACAGCATTCCATAATGTTCCCATATCTCCAAAGCAGGAAACAGAGCCATGAAACTAATCCAACCAGGAAAATAGCCATCAGAGTGAAGACAAAAGGGACATACCAGTCACTGGATTTGTACGTGTTGATAGCTGTGTGCACAATGGTTAGGCCTTTTCTTGGCTAGGAAAAGTATTTCAAAGCAAACAGAGCATTAGGACGCTCATGTAACACTGGTACAGCATCCTAGTCCCATCCAGACAGTGGAGTAAGGGCTCAGCCTTGTGTATTTTTTTTTCTTTTTTTTTTATCGGTACCGGGGATCGAACTCAAGACTGAGCGCTTGCAAAGCAGGCGCTTGTGCTGCTGAGCTAAATCCCCAGCCCAGCCCTGCGTATTTTTTAAACACTGCAGCTAATATGAAAAACAGACTAAGCCTGTAAAGACTTGAGTTGCATGCAGTGACCACTCTGGGATGGTAAACCAATCATTTCTCTTTGCCTTCAGTTTTCTCATTCATAAAATCAAGATTTGAACTAGATGGTTCCTGAGGTCATTTTAGTTTTCATAGCCCCCTTATTTACTCTAAATTTAATTAACCCTTCTGTGCAGTTTAAGGGAACAGCATATTACTGAAAATCAAATATTCTGGCAAAAAAAAATTGTGCTACTTTTTCTTTAAACCCCTGTTTTGAAAAGTTTATCTTTTCAAAGGTGGCACTTAGGGCCAGGTATAATCCCAGCATTTGAAAGGCTGAGGCAGAAGGATTTCCACAAGTTCAAGATCAGCCTGGACTATATTGTGAATTCAAGGTCAGCCCGAGCTACATAGAAAGAGTCTGTTTCCAACTCCCCTACACACACCAAAACAAAACAACAATGCAAAAGGAAAACAATAAAGTGCAACGCAAGGTCTACTGAGCACACTTTATCCTTAGATGACTAAGAAGCCATGTGGGCATGCTGCTGAGGTTTTGCATATTAATTTTTTGAAAATACTAGCAGGTCTGCTAAACTTCACAGGGTTGGACTAAAGACTAGATGAAACAATGACCATAAAGCACACGGTGCGATGCCTGGATACCCATTAACAGGAATAGCATGGCAAATAGACAATATCCTTTAAAAGTGCCAATTTGTAGATAGTTTTAATTGATAGAACTCATTGAGTAGCGGGCCCTTCTGGGGGACAGGACTTTCAGGAAATTCATATATAATTAGCTTCTTAAGGATCCTCTATGTACTTCATGCAGTTAGCACAAATTCACTCCCACTCATAGCTTATATTCACAGATGCATCCTGTAAAATGCTGTCCAGTGCTGGATGGGTTAATGCCCCAAGGGAAAGGCACGTGGACGGATTCATTCTTTCAGTCTTTCTAGATCAAGCTCAGATTTACAGTAGAATATTTCCCACACAGTCAACCAAATCAAATTCTGTAACTCTTTACTTCAGAACTGGTTGGAGAAGATTGTGTAGTGGCTCTTATCACATGGATATCTATAATAGCAGTGCCTGTCCTGGGCTTGGTGGATTTGCCATATTTCAGATTGTCATCAACTATATGCACTACGAGATGATATTGCCGCTGCTGTTCGGCTCCAGATTCAAAGTTAAAAGGATTCTTCACAATTAATTTTGGAGTATTTGAGCCTCGACTTGGGTCGAATCCAAAATGATGGTTCACATTTCCTTTAAAAAGAATAATTGAGAAGTTATAATTATTTTAAGATGCATTAGATGTCCTCAAACTATCTTAAACTGCCATTATGATACAATACATATAAATAAGATGGCTATTGTACTCTAAATTCTCATACCCACATGGTTTACAGTTGAATTCAGGTCAAATAAGCAGTGAATATAACTGATTAAGAAAAAATGTTTTAAAGGTTAAAATTATGAGTTGGATCTCTATATGTGTCCAGGAGAGCTCACACTATTATCTAAATATTTTGCCTAATTGCTTTCTCTTCTTTATCTTCTACTTACAGTAATGTGACTCTCACCTTCAATTTGGTCTAGATCAGTGTCAAATGCAACAGTCAGACTGTAAGTGCCTATGGAGCCCTTCCTAAAGTCATGTCCTCCCCATGGCTCTGTGCACATCCTTGCTAATAAGATGCACACAGTACCTTTCTTCATAGAACTTCTCAACAGTGAACCAGTTCTCAGAAGTAATTAGTGACAGTCTACTGATTTCCACACTCCCATTCTTTCACATAAATAATGACAGTTCTGACTTCCATACTTTAAATAGGTTTCCTCTCCCCCCCACCCCCGTTGGCTTTTTGAGACAGTGTCTCACTATATATACAGTTCAAGCTATCCTTGAGCTAACTTTGTAGCCCAGGCTGGTCTTGAATTTACAATGATTCTCCTGGCTCAACCTCCTTAGTGCTGGGATTACATGCCTGGGCCACCATGCCTGATTTAACAAGTCTCCTTTTAATGCTGTCTCCTTAGACCTGGTAGCTTTCCTTAATTTATCAGTTGGTCATTTCATAATCATTGATGTTATTTCTAGTTTAACAAGCAATGAGTGCCACAAGTCCAAATCCACACCTGTGTTGGGTACTTCTATGTACCCACTTCCTAGTATAGTGCCTCATACACACTTGGTCTCCAATAAATGCCATCCACAGAGGACAAGATAGCAACCCAGATCTGTGTAAACCCAACGAGGGCAGAGTCAGAAACATCTATCCTGGTGAACTTGTACTAGGATAATCAGACACAAAGGTGGCTGCTATTTTTGGCCAACACCATGGATGGCAGACCCAGTGACTTGCCAGGTAACCTTTGTGCAAGTTCAGAATCTTGTAGTGAAAGCATCTGTGCAGAATGGAAGGAAGGAGCAGAAGGAAGAATTAAGGTGGATATGCAAAAGTGGAAAAGATGCCTTGCCTTGAGGAAACCTCGTTCCATAGATAAAAAATAGTTTAACCTTCAAAACACAGTCATTTCTAGGGTTATACATCCTGCCTAACATAGTACGAGTAACATCAATTTGACACATGCTTTGATTAAAAGAAAGTCATAAAAGAAATAAAGTCATCCACCAGAAGCTATCTCAAAGCGCATTTCGAAATCCTGTGAATCTCTGTCGTGACAGCTTAGTTTGAAGCCATTGACGCTTGTCCCAGAAACAACGTTGTCAAAAATGACTCCTTTATAAAGATAGGGCACACAGACCGGTGCTTCGTCATTCTCGTCTTCAATGTCAACAGTGACCTGCCAGGAAAGAGGAAAGAGAAGCATCGCGTCCACATCATCTGACTATTTATACTCAAAATCAGAAGGAAGCATCTGGGTGGAGATAGATCTTTTAGGATCACTAAATTAGAAGTCTAGAATTTTCAGTTTGCAGAGCTGTTCCCACAGACTCGGATTCTGGCTGTCAATCAGTGAGCCCATGGCTTATTATTCTGGGCCAGCTGTGGGTAGCCTTTAGGGAGAGCTTTGGGCTCATTAGATGAGCCTCTGAAAAACTCACAAATTATGTAAATATAACAGAAGGAATGCAGAAGACCGCTGCCTCGAAAACGAATCCCTTGAACACTTAAATATTCGTGCTGCACGCAAGTGTATCCAATGGTGCATCTTCCTCCACCACGGACCTCCTCTTGACCACGCTCTCTAGTGCAGTGTATGCACATTTCCATTAGCAATAGGATTACTTGAAAGTATGATCCGACCTTAATTAGGAGCTATTATCAATATTTTCTTAATTAAAATGCTACAAACCAGGAAACTGTGATTATACAGAAAAAGTTCAAAATAGCAAGGATTTTAAAATGTCAGTGCTGAATGCCAGTCAGCCCAAAAAGGTCATCTGCCCACCTCGCAGATGACAAATAGCTCTCCCGGCAACCGTCCCAGAGGGACCCCTGGAGTGCCTATGTTTGCAAGCATTTTATCTTTTCCAGAGTGTTTTCTGTAATGTTTCAATAATCCAGCTAAATTCTGGGGTACTGTTCAATCTCGGATACTGCTTTAATAGACTGGCTACAGCTCTGTGTTCATTGGACAGGTGAGGTATTTGTACATGATCAGTAGTAGAAATGGCACTGTGCTAGGACTTGGAACGGAATTCTTCATTCACGGCTAGGTCTCCTGCAGTCAGCTCCTATGTTTGAAACAAATGATTTAACCTTGTTTTACTCAACTGTAAAATATCTTAGTCCTTGAATCCCTACTTTCTTAGGACTGGCAGACAGGATACATTTGTCTATTTGTTGGGTATTTACTGAACATTTATTATGTGCCAAACAGAGACAAAGACACAGATACTATAGTACCGATATGAAAAAATACCCTAATCTATCACAATCTGTACTTTTATTCTGGAGACAAAATAATAAACATCAACAAATAAGTATATAAGGCTATATCATATGCTAATTAGCACTATGCAGTTAAGGACATAGGGATTGGCTAATAAGAACTATTTGCCTCTCTGCCTGCCCCTATTTGATAAATGCCCCTAAGCAATTATGTATTCTCACAGAATATGCAGTGTTGGGTGATATAATTTTGATTTGAATAAATGATATTGCACCACAGGTCTTTCCTGATTCCAACTTTTCTCACACAGAACCCTGTATGTACACTTCATGTTTGTAAAACTCATTTGCTTCTTTATTTGTTTTGCAGTCCTGGACACCAATCCCAGGGCCTTGCTCATGATAGGCAAGCCCCTCAGTCTACTACTAAACTACATTCTCAACACTCCTCTCCTCTCATTTTTTTTTTTTTTTTTGAGATGATCTCACTAGGTTTCCCTGGCTGAACTCAAACCTATGATCTTCCTGCCTCAGCCTCCTGAATAATTACAGATGTGTGCCATTATTCCTCCCAGCATTCCTCAGTATGCATCTATTGTACTTTAGTCATCCATTCCCCCATTGATGAACAAATGGATTGATTGAGGTTTCCACCAAAACCAAGTGTAAAGGACTCTGGCCAACAGGTTCATTGGGGCAGAAATTTTGCTAAATGATGCGAGCCATGAATGAGCATGCCAAGGTTGGTGTGAGAGAAACAGAGAAGTTTGTGTCACTGACTGAAATCAGTAAGATGAAAAGGTAGCCAGCACCCAGAGCACGCAGGCACCGCAGACTTTGGGGATGACAGTAGAGCCTTGCTAAGTGGGATGGAAGCTGAGGCCGAGGGGAGTGAATGTGTCACTCCAGGTCCTGTGCGAACAGTAGACACAGGGAGCACCAATCAAGACAAGGAGTCTAGCTACAAGCCTGCTGCCCTGGAAGAGGTGAGGAATGCTGGCAGCCCAAGCAGAGTCTTAGGAGGTCATGGGTGAGGATGTCTCTATTAAAACAGAAATGTCTCTATTAAAAAAGAGATGACAGAACATGCTGAAGGGTTGGAGAGAGAATTTGGGTGCATGATAGTGATCAAGTATATAGGCAATCTGACCTATTTTAGCAAAGCAACCTTGGATAAGTTATGGTGTTTAACTTCTAAGGCTCAGGACTAGAATTCTTCCATGTGTTAAAAAGAATTTGAGCTGGGAATTTAACTCAGTGGCATAAGCATCTGCCTGGCAAGAGTGAGGTCATAAATTCGATCTCTGGTACAAAAAAAATAATTTGAGAAACTGCTTTTGGAATGGGATTCAGGACAAAATGAAATGGTTGAGGGCACAGCATAGTGCTAGGCGTTCACTAGGTTTTCCCACAAAGTAGATGCTGATGGCAGTGGGGGGTAAGGGGTGACAAGGGTGGGTCCCAAGGGTGGAGACTAAAGACCCAGCTCCCTTTCTGAACTTGATCATTGAATTCCTCTGTATCATCAACATGGCACGCAGCATATATTATTAAATTTTCCATCTGATAAAAGTGTTAAGCTCCCTGAAGGCTTATACAGGGTCTTCCACTGCTATGCTACCCGAAATGTTATACTTAAACACTCATAAATACTCATTAAAAGGGAGAAAGAATGGACAAGGTCCCAATTTATCTTTAGGCAAAGTGTAAACTCTTTTAAGCACAGAGTAGCTTGAACTTTTTCACTGTTTCATTAATTCTTCTTTCCTCCCTTCTCATTTGTAATAAGTGAATAACAAGTGCAAGTGGCATCATCCTATCCTATTTTGGGAGCTCATAAAAGTCTTCAGAAAAAACCACCACAGGTGCTGCAGCATAAAGATTATTCTCATGGGTGTCATCCCAAGACACACAATTCCAGCCTCAGGACTGTAACTCAGTCCCTGTGAAAGCCATTCTAATCATCAATATGACTGGGTCTGATTTTCCCCCATATGGCCATGTGCACAAAACCTCACAACCACAGGAGGAGGAAGCCAGAGGGCTGTACAGTGCCAGGAAACACACAGTGACCCATCAGGCCAGATGGGGTCCTCATAATTCTTCAGTCCCACTTCCATCTCCTCTGCAAAGATCAGATCCCATGGTGGGTTAATCGCACAACCCGCATAACAAATATCCAAGAATTCACTCTTGATATCTTTCCAGAGTCCCCTGACAATGCTAAAATAATTTAAAGGTGACCGCACTTTCCCTCCCTTCGATGCCAATCTACTTTCATTGTGAATATCATCTCTCAACACAAGGCACCTGAGTTTGAGTCCAGTTCTGTAACCTGGTGGGTATGTTACTTAAACTTTGTGCCTCTGTCTCCTCATCTGTAGGATGTGAATGGTTATAATATTGCCTACCTTGACTGTTGAAATTGAAGAGTAAATTAACATGGGATGCTTGAGAAACAGAGAAAACTCTGAACATCTCCATGCTCTGATATCATTTGGCCTTTCCTACTGTAATAAATTGGACCTTGATACATGAATTTTCTTGTTGGCTGGTTGTCTCTACTCACTGTGGTCACTGCTGTACGAGGACGAACTCTGTCACAGTCCACAGCTTCCACAGTAAGGTTATACTGCTTCACAGACTCATAGTCTGGCTGCGTGGTGAGTTCGATCATTCCAGAGCGAGGGTGAATCCAGAATCTCTGGACAGCCTCGATGTCTCCACTGGTAATCCTGTAGGTCAGACAGTTTGGTGGGTGGTCTTCATCAATGGCAGTCACTCTTCCAACTTTGTAGAAAGCTGCCAATAAAATTTTATAAGGTTCATTCTTCTCATGCAGATATAACACTCTAAAAAGTTTAGCATGCATTTGTTTTTCAAGTAGCATCAGTTTCTCAAAGGGATAATTGGAAGCCTGGTGGACAATGCAAGATCTTTGAAGACTCCAACTGAGGGGGAAAATGTAGGAGTCCTCTGCCACTTCAAACCATGGTACATAAGTCGATATGTTTAAAATAACTTTACAATAATAATGCTCAGCTCAACCTTAGCATTATACTAATATAGGCATCAGAGAGGGTTCACAGTACACTTGGTTATAATCTCAGCCTTGTCACTTACTCATGTAACTCGCTGGACCATTTTGTGTCCTCTCTGGACCTCATATTCTTCATCTTCAGACTGGGAATAATAATAGTATCTACCATACAGAGTTGTCATGCAAACTGAGTAAGTTAAAATATAGTAATCACTTAGAATAGTGTCTGGTATGTGGTAAATGCTAAATAAGAATTTCTTATTGTTACACACATTCTCTGATCAAACAGTCTCAACACTGATATGGTATATGTTCTATTGATTACTCCATTTTATGAATAAAAAAACATGGTCCAATGGTTTCAAGTAATAAAGTCATAGAGCTAATAGGAAAAGAATAAGGAATAAATTTGTATGCTAACCACATTTCTTTTATTTTTCATTTTCAGTGTGTTTCTTTTTTATTAGTGACTTAACCCATTCACATGTAATACAATCACTGATATGAATTTATGTCTATCTTTTTTAATAATCTTTTTTATTTTAAAGAGAATAAAACAGAATAAAGCCAATCAAAACAAAATAGTGTTGCAGGATTTCAAAACAAGATAATAGAAATATATTGCCTATATATTAATAGAAATATATTGCCATAATGCCTCTTCTTGTCTTCAAAATAGCTGCCCATAGCATCAAACATAGGAAAATTAAACAAAACATAACAGAATATAACCAATAAAAACAAAATAATGAACACAATACTTCAAAACAAAGTAATAGTAAATTCAAAAAGACATCATAATATATCTTGTTATCTTTGAAATAGTTTCCCATGCCATCAGATACAATAAAATCAAACAAGACAAAATAGAATAAAACATATCAAGCAGGAGCTGGGGATTTAGCTCAGCGGCATAAGCGCCTGCCTTGCAAGCAGGCAGTCGTGAGTTTGATCCCTGGTACTGATAAAAAATGAAAAAGAACAACAACAAAAAAATATCAAGCAAAACAATGAAAATGAAACAAAACTTTAAAACAAGATAATAGGGAAGGAGAGCCCCCATAGATGCTATGGTGTATATTGGGTTTTTTTTTTTCAATTTTTAAAAATTTTATTTAGAGAGAAAAAAACAAAACAGCAAAAAGGGTAAAAATAATACATAATTTTTAAAAATAAACAGTAAGAAATCACTAGTTAATAAATAGCATACTGTCATCTTAGAAATAGTTGTTCAAATTACAAAATTAAAGTATACAAAGTAAACATTCAGACAGTGATACTGCAAACAGTTCTGTTCAACGATCCAACAAAAACTTAGTAATATAGTTATCTATCTTACACACTTAAACATACATGCAGTTATATCCTTTAGAGCACTTTCTGTTCCTCTCCTTTTTACAATAGCAATTACACATTTTGGGTTTTATTACTCCTACAGTTCATATTACTTTTTATACTAGAGACAAAATGTGATAGTTATAAATGTGATTCTTACTTATTTCACTTATAAGGTTTGTCTCAAGTTGTCTACATTTACCTATGAAGGCCTCACAATCATCCTTCTTTATAACTGAGTAATATTCCAATGTATAAAAATACATCTTTTCATGCATTCTGCAGTTGATAGGCATTTTGGTTGTTTCCAAGATTTAGCTATTACAAATTATACTGCTATGAACATAGGTGTACATATATCACTGTGACATGACCTTTTCAGTTTTTCTAGGAAAATACCCAGGAGGGGAATAGCTACACTGAATGGAACTTCCAATCCTAGTCTTCTGAGAAATCTCCATACTGATTTCCATAGTGGCTGCACCAGTCTACATTCCCACCAACAGTGGAGAAGTGTTCCTTTTTCCAAGCCTCACCAACATTTGTTATCAGTTTATTTCTTGATGGCAGCTATTCTTTCTGGAATGAGATAAAATCTCAATACTGTTTTAATTTGCATTTCTCAGATGACTAGTGATGGTGAACATTTCTTCATGTATTTATTTGCCATTTGTATATCTTCATTTGAGAAATGTGTGTTAATCTCAGATGCCTATTTTTGTAGAGGGTCTTTCTTTATATGTTCTGGATATAAGTCCTTTGTCTAAGGAATTGTTGGCTAAAATTCTTTCCCATTCTGTGGATTTTCTTTTCACTCTGTTGGTGATTTCTTTTGAAGTGCAGAAATTTTTCAGTAATATGAGATCCCAGTTGTTGATTCTTTGAAGTGTTTCCTGTGCAGTTTCCGTTTTATTCATGAATTTTCTGTGTACCCTTACGTCTCTAAGATTTCTACCTACCTTGTCTTCCAGTAGATTTAGTGTTTCTGTTTTAATATTTAGATCTTTGATCCATTTAGATTTTACCTTTGTGCATGGTTATAGGCCTGGGTCTAGTTTCAGTCTTTGGCACGTGGAGAGCCAATTTTTCCAACATCATTTATTAAAGAGACTATCCTTCTTCCAGTGAACATGTTTAGCACCTTTGTCAAATGTCAGGTGGCTGAGTGTCTTTGTAGTTGTGTTTGCACCTTCTAATCCATTCCATTGATCCTCAGGTCTATTTCTTTTCCAATATCATGCTGATTTTATCACTGTGGCTTTGTAGTATAGTTTCAAGTCAGGAATTGAGATGCCTCCTGCCTTGCCTTTGTTGCCCAGAATTGCCTTTGCTTTTCTAGATTTCTTATTTCCAAATGAATCTTAGGAGTGTTTTCTCTAGATCTGTGAGGTATGCTAATGGTATTTTCACTGGGATTGCATTAAATCTGTATAACAGTTTTGGAAGTGTAGCCATTTTCACAATGTTGGTTCTTCCTAGCCAAGGGCAAAGAATATCCTTCCATTTTCTAATATCCTCTTCAATCTCCTTTTTTAGAGTAGTATAATTTTCAGGATATAGATCTTTTACATTCTTGGCTAGGGTGATTCCTAAGTATTTCATTTTTTTAGATGCTATTGTGAAAGGTGATATTTCCATAATTTCTCTCTTGATGAGTTTTCATTTGTATACAGGAATGCTATTGATTTTTGAGTGTTGACTTTGTATCCAACTACACTGCTGAATTTGTTTATTACCTCTCATAGTCTTTTAATGGATTTTTTTGTCTTCTATATAGAGTATCATGTCATCTGCAAATAGTGACAATTTAACTTCTTCCTTTCCTATCTTTATTCCTTTTATTTCTCTCTCTTGTCTGATTGCCCTGGCTAGTATTTCCAGAACTATATTGAATAGAGTGGTGATAGTGGACATCGTTGTCTTTTCTGATTTTAGAGTGAAAGCTTTCCATTTTCGTCCATTTAGTACAATATTAACTATTGGTTTTTCACAGATGGCCTTTACTAGATTGAGGTAGACACCCAAGTTTTTGAAGGGTTTTTATCATGAACATGTGTTGGATTTTATCAAAAGCTTTTTCTGCATCTATTGAAATGACCATGTGGTTTTTGTTTTTGGCTCTGTTGATGTGGTGTATTACATTTATTGATTTGCATATGTTAAACCATCCCTGCATTCCTGGAATGAATCCTACTTGGTCGTGATGTATAATCTTCTTGATGATTTGCTGCATTCTATTTGCCAGTATTTTATTGAGAATCTTTGCATTAATGTTTAGTGAGATTGGTCTATAGTTCTCCTTTTTGGTTGTGTCTTTCTCTGGTTTTGGTATCAGAGGAATACTTGCCTCCAGTAATGATTTAGGGAGGATTACTTCCTTTTCAATAGCATTTGAAGAGTTTAAAGAGTAATGGCATCAAATCTTCTCTCAATTTCTTGTGGAATTCAGCCATGAATCCATCAGGATCGGGCTTTTCTTTATTGGTAAGTTTTTAATTAATTATGTTTTCAATTACAATAGCTGTTATTGGGTTATTCAAAATTGCGATATCATCTTGATTGAGCTTTGGTGGTTCTAGAAATCTGCCCATTTCCTTTGTGTTTTCCACTCTATGTGAGTAGAGATTTTCAAAGCAAGTATTCATGATCATTTGAATTTCCATGGAATCTGTAGTGATTTCCCTCTTTTCAGGGAAAACCATCATTTCTTTTCAGTCCTTATTGCATGAATTTGGGTTTTTTCTCTCTTTTTCTTGATAAGGTTAGCTGGAGGTTTATCGATTTTGTTTATTCTCTCAAAAACCCTGCTTTTTGATTCATTAATTTGTTGTGTTTTTTTTTAGTTTCAATTGCATTGATTTCTTCTCTAATGTTTACAATTTCTGCTCTTCTATGAGCTTTGGGTTTAACTTGCTTTTCTTTTTCTAGAATCTTGAAATAAAGCATTAGTTTGTTTATTTGTGCTCATTCTGTTTTCTTGATATGACAATCTATTGCTATATGTTTCCCTCTTAAGACCACTTTCATTGTATCCCAAAGACTATAGTATGTTGTTTCTGCATTTTCATTGAATAGTAGGTATTGCTTTATTTCTTCTTTAATTTCATCTGTTGCCGATTGGTTATTCAAAAGGTAATTATTTAAGTTCCATGTATTTATGCAGGTTTTGCAATTTCTTTTGCCCTTACTTTCCAATTTCAGTGTGCTATAGTCAGGTATTATGCATGGGATAATTTCAATACCTTTGTATTTAGTTAAGAATGTTTTATGGGATAATATATGTTCTATTTTGGAGAATGTACCATGTGCAGCTGAGAAGAATGCATATTCTGATGTGTTTGGGTTGAATACTCTGTAAATATCTACTAAGTCCAATTGCTCACAGGTATGATCCAGTTCTATTATTTTTTTGCTGATTTTTTGTCTA